ACACACACAGACACACACACACACACACACACTCACTCACATTCGCTCACGCACTCACTCACTTGAAAGCAGTAGTCTAGTCAGTCACTGATATTGACATACATTTTTTAAACACAATTTATGAACTCATGTTAATTAACAGGGTACATGATATTCAAGATGTATTGTCGATGACTAATGAGAGTTTTTTCAATGTGTAAATTGTAACTTAATACTTGTACAGAGCAGTGGCTTTTTCTCTAACCTAGAGATATGAACCCCCCGGGGCGGTGCTACTGACTAAAGTGTCTTTAGGCCATTCCCAAAGGGGGGACATTAACCTGTTCTTATGCACAGTAGAATTGTAAACGGGCTGATTCATCGATCCCATGCTCATAACTGTGCCTGAACTGCAACAGGGAACTGCTGCTTTTTCTTTCCTCATCCTATCATAATTTTTCCTCTATTTCTTTTGTATGTTTGTCACACTCTAGTGACCCGCTATTTCCGGGGTGCCTTGATAGTCGAAGCAGACTTTGTGCTGTTGAAGCTAGAGAGGTGAGCAGAGTAAGTCCGATTCCCTGTAAGGACTTCTCTGTTGACAATGACCCCTTGGCGCTCATATAACCTTAAACAGTTGCGAGCGCCGTAAAAACTCTACTAAAACAAAACAAGAGATACAAACTCTCCGTGGACAAGGGATGAATGTGAATGATGTCTTTGTTGTATAGAATTATTTGATGGTCTATGAGTTTTTATTTGCTTTTTGCAAAGTGTGTTGATGTGGAATACTTGATAGTGTCGGAGTTTATTATTTGCTTTTTGTTTTGTTTTCATTGAAGCATAATGTGTCCAACTTGGCACTTAGTCTGCCATGTAAAGCTTAGAGTATATGATTATGATGTAGGGCTGGGCAATGATTCACTTTAGCAAAATCCGGATAATGTTAGTGCACCCCTTCTGCGATTAAATGTGTCATGAACCGCTTCAGCAAAAGGGTTAGAAGAACCACTTCAAAATATGGGTGCACCCACTTCGGCAAACGGGTCTTGAAAGAGAGTTTAAGAGTCTGAATTCGGATATTGTTTAACTGAGAAGTATCCGGTTATCCGGATTTTGCCCACCATTATTATGATGTTAGGAGGGAGCTAGGGAAAATCAAGTATGAGTGTGAGTGGGAAGCTGTACAAGTGTTGATCAAACGTTGCAAATAACTTGGGGAAAGAGAAATTTTTCTGACATTGTGTGAGTCTGAGTATGAAACTTTACAAGTGTTCATCAAGTCAAACCAACTGCGCCATAACTGCCTCTTGTTGATATGGGATGGTGGGTGCCACTGTTACCTGTTTGTGATGTACTCTCTTACTCTTGAAAGTTAGTCCACAGAATTCCGTTCTCGGCAAGGTCACTTGCTTATGTTTTTTTTCTCTATTAGTTTTTTAAAGACCAGCTTATGACAGTCTCCTCCATGACCTAAATATCCTTGACGTGGGTGTAAAACATTTACAAGTATTTACAGGCGGGTGCTTGGCGGGTGCTCTGATGTGGTTTGCTTCTTGTTTCCCTTCAAACATCTTTCGTCCTCATCTCTTCTCCTTTTTTGCGTTCGTTACTCTCTTGTAACATTTATAATCTTCGGCACTTACATTACCTTATTGTGTTGCAAGTGCAGTAAAACTCTACAGTTCATTGGAAATCATATTAGACTCTACAGAGATACTGATACTAAGACTTACTTAACTGAATATATATGTGTAACTTAATGTCATTATTCATTCATACCATGACTTCTTGTGCAATAATATCCATCTTGGAAGTTTTTAAAAATCTATTTCATGCCGAGGTGTTATCTTCTTGATTATTGTCTCCAGAGGTTTATGATTGTTACAGAAGGATGTTTTTCTGTGATGTTGAGATTTCAATTTCCCATGTACTTTGAAACCATATCGAGCATTCCCCATATTGCTTTGAGTATTGTGTTCATATATATATATATATGTGTCACGACGTGGTGGAATCAGGCACCACTCTTCAGTTTTTGGGCTTATGGAGTAGTGGTATCATCGTAAAACTTGTTCATGTGTCTTGCTTTTGTTGTAAAAAATACCCATCTATCTTGAATAGAAATCAAGGTATATGCCATTGAAGGAGGTGGGGATCACTGGTAGCAGAGATAAGATTCATGAGAAAATGGCCACCAAAGTTTGGTGACTTCCAAATCTTACTTGTCAGTGGAAACTGCAAATTTACATTTTTTGTGCCTTTGATCAAGGTTTTTGAGTAAACTCCACCCAGAAAAGTGTTTTAAAATGAACATCTAAGCTGTTGAGCTGAAAAAAAGAATACATGTAATTTAATAAATCATCAATGAAAATTGGCTACTGGTTAGAAAATGTCGGTTTCTTTGATTTTCTTTATTTTTTTGAGCACCCGATTTCTCCAGTGATGTCCCATATAGATATCTATACAGCATAACATATACAGCTCGAATTCGCCGGGACCGGCCTTGGTAGTTCGAGGGATCCGTAGTTCAAAAGATATCTTACAAAGATTTAAAAGTTTAAAAAAACCTCGGGACTGCAGGTACAGTTCAACAGATGAGTGATTTCGAGTCTTCTGTGTTCGACCTATCCGTGTTATGCTGCAAAAATACATTAGAATTTATTATGTGCTAGTCAAGGGGTTGTTTTTTATTACATGAGTACATGGAGTACGTTGCAGAGCAGTTAGTCTGCTCGTCTCTGAAGCGGAAA